TTATGATGCACACCTGGGGACCACAAACGAGGATATTGCTCATGCTTTTAAAAGGTCAATCGACCCTTCCACGTGTTCTTTACTTCACTTTTTGATAAAGATCAGTGAGCTAAAATCCATTTATACTGTTGGAAGAGCGAGTGAATAGAGTCTAAACCCCCATAGCAAACGGACGCAACAATGTTGGATGTTAATGTTGTGTCCGCTTCCACACCCTGTTGCATATCGTGGCATGTTGTTAGTATTGTTGGGAGCTGTTGCGCAAAGTTTGAAACCAGTCAAAGTTTTGAGCCAAAACTCGTAAAATTTCTTTTGTTCTGTGATTGCCGAAGCGTAGTGGAACAACGTTGGATCCGTTTCCATAGGTCTTCCAACAGTGTTGGGACCAATCACGCGCATTAAACATGGTTACAAAGTCTTATGGGTTATATCCTTCCCACGATGCACTGCAGGTCCCAACATTGTTGGGAGTTGATGGATCCGTTTGCACACCCCAGTCAACAATGTTGGGAGTTGTGTCCGTTTGCACGTAGCTTAACTCGTTTGGATTATTTTTGCAGACGGGATCCCTAACGGAGGTCACACTATTGCTAAAGGAGGAAGCTTACCTCGTCAAAGCTGGAAAAATCCCTCCTACTATGACATGTACCAGTCATAAAACCGTAGAACAGTAACTGAAGAGGTTTGAAATTTATTCTTGTAAAATATCGAAAAATTTGTGCCACCGTAGCAGAGTTCTGAACTACTTCTTCATGGTTTGTATAGACATCGTCGTGATATTAAATTTCTTTAACTCTGTAGTAGACGACTTGAATTTGCAGTACTTTATACTTAAAACACCATAAAATTATGGGAAAAGCTGCCTATTTTTAAAGATATGTCCCCAATGAGGACACGTGTTAGACGGTTACTTCTTTAATATTGTATAAAACTGGGGTGTTTTTAGATCTTTCATAATAATTTTGAATGCTTAGGAACAATAAATATTTTAGCGTGTAATTAAGTGATCAATTTGCCTGAAGTTAATTTATAAGTAATAGGTTAGCTTGTATCAGTCAAAATATTTATTCCATTGTCTGTATATCGTTAACGTTGGGTTTTTACAATGTAAAGGGGCTTAGCTTCCAATTTGACTGTCCGTTTGAATGACTATAACGTGATAACACATCCCTAACCACACCAGTCATCAAAAAAATACTCCTCTCAGGGGGTACAATAGGCCATGTTACAGTTACAGGTGGAAACGAGGCTGGAGTTGACGTTGTTTTGATACAACCCTTCCTGCTTTATTATGTAAATCATGTTTTTCTTTTGCAAACTGCTATTTTTAAGCATAATTTCCATGATAAAAGGGCTTTGTATCAAATCAAGGTCAACCTTAGCCTCACGTTCACTCAAAGGCTGAGATGCTAAGCTCACAACTGTAAAATGGTCTATTTTGAACCTATTCAAAAAAGAACGAATAATTTTTACGTAATTGACTTTTTGTTGTTACTGAAGCATTTTAGTATATAGAAACTAAAGAGAATTACCCCCAACGTCAACTGCAAAACGTAGCTTTTTGGGCAAGCTATTTTTTAACCATGACACACATACTGTTTGTCTGCTTTATAAGAAGACGTTTTACGTTTTAAACGGAAATCAGGCAAAGGAGTTATAAGTTACAGTCACTGAATAGGATATCAAACTATTTCTGTTGAGAAATGTTATGCAGACTTCTGCAATAATGAAGGCTTAGGTCCAGGATTCAACGATAATGAGATGACGATCCTTATGATGGCCGTCATACAGTATCCTTGTCAAGAGAAGTTTACTAGAATACCTAGAATTTTGTCAAATATGAAGTAATATGAATGTGACGAACAACCCAGTCAAATAGGAAGTAATGAGAAAAGAATATCGTTCAATCCACAACGTAAGTGATGATTTCAATTGTAAAGGAAAGTATACTTGAATGTACTTCTGGCCTCAGTTGTTCACTAAACACGGAAAGCATTATCCAATGGATAGTGATATATCCAGTGGAAAGCGCCATCCATCGTTTGAACAACAAGGGCCAGGAGAGCTTACAGAAGTCTGGATTATACCCACATAATAAAATCCAGGATTTTGTCAATGATGGATGGTCATTCCTCTTCAAGTTTCTGTCTCATTGTAAGAGATTATTTTCACCGTTTTTAGAATTTGCGAAATCTCTTTTGGAAAAATTGGAACATCTAGATTCGATATTTTATGTTGGCTGTTGAGATGTTTTTGAGCTTGCTGTGTAGATATTGTAAGGGGTTTTTATAGCCATAATTGTGGTCCAATTAACAATTTCCTTTGTCACAAGTACGAGTATATTCCTTGGCAACATGACGTATTTTCCCGAAGGAGTTTTTTATTCATTTTGAGCTGAAAACAACAAAAAAAAATATGTGACGGCTTTGCACGTATGTTGCAAATAAGCCCTCCCAAAGATGTACAATTATACCAAATGCTATATTTCAAGGGAATTTGGTGAGATTGATTCAGTATTTCTTATGAGATTAATAGTAAGTGTTAATAGGATATCGCAGCTAATTAAATATAATTGCTGGGTAAATTATATAGGAGTGTATGATACTAGTATTCATAAACATTGATCATTGAAAAATTGTACTCTCGTATAATTTTACTGACTTGCTTTCAATTACATGGCGGATGTTTTATAAGTTTTTAGTTAACCAGTGGCTCTTCAGCACCTATTAGATATTAAACAGTTGTAAAGAAGGAAAACCTATTTTAGCTCCAACTGTTTGTTTTTACATAAACATTTGTACATGCATCTTAACACAAATAAAGATTCTGTTGTCTATTGTCTACTTAGTTACTTGCAATTTCAGCAAAACAAGAACGCTCTTAAGAGCGCCTGTCTGTAAAAATCAGACAAATTCAAAATTTCGCGGCAAGGGTGGACAATTCGATTTCTTTCATATTTTAATGTTACATAGGCCAGGGTATAACTAAAATCACTGTATAGTTCTTTCGATGAAATATCCTTTTATTTCAGAGATAAATGCAAATAAGCAAAATCCGTTAAAATCGTCATTTGAGGCGCTCAATTATTACATGGGTTTGAAAGCCTCGCATGCAAAAGCGGATTACTCTACCGTCTTTAAAACATCACAGCCTTCTTTTACAACTTCTAAATATCTGTTAAAATGATTTGGGGAGATAGTGCTCTGTTCTTTGTGTACAATATAATTTAATTTCGAAGGCATACAATTTACTTTAGTAAAAGTAATGCGTGAAAAAACGTAATTTTCACCATGTGCGGAACCTTCAAATCGATTGAGCTGCTGGTGGTTGAATTTTAGAAGGATGGTCTACAGATTCCTGTAAAAATTTCTTTGGGCAAATGATTAATAGCGACGCGAGAGCTTTACAAAATCTGTTAAAAATGCAGATACTTGACCCCGTGACCGAACTTTGAAGTTGCGAGGCGGACAAAAATTTCGTCCCGTCACTTGTCTAAACTCGCAGTAGATTATAATAAACAATTAGGAAACCCTTTTGAAATGTTCTTACCTTAAAATCTGCTGTAAAAGACGAGTCCAAAGGCTATTTTAGCCCGCTTATTGAGTCGTTTGATCTTTGTCTTGTAACGTGTAATTGTACACCACGCCAACTGTCAACGTATTCACCGGACAAATACAATTCTTTGGCCAACTTTCGGGGCTTTTCATTACGACTTCATCTTTTTCGACGGCTCAGTCATTTGTTAAACATTGCTTAGAATGTAGTATCTGAAAATATTACCGCGCAGATACTACATCTGACTGCTACAACAGAATGACACAAAAATGCCGGTGCTCACATCTTGAATTGCAGGCAGCGTTTGTAAGTCACGCAATCCAATTTAGCGGGGTGGAGAAGGGTGAAGTGGCAAACGGCCACAACGAGAACAACAGCAATAATTAAGGCTGATCACTATACTGCATAGCTTTTCGCGCAGACACAAAAAGCTATCCGGTAAAGTATGAACACCTATCCGGTATGTGACTCTCCTGTTTAGAGATCGGGGCGTCGCAGCTTTGCTTTTTCCCCGGGGGGCGGGGGGGTACTGCCTTATAAGAGGCTAATGGGGCTGTGCCGCTGGATGGGTTTGCATCTTTACGACTGGATTAACAATAATGGGGTCGCATTTTCAATAGAGTTACTAGAATGGGATCACACATTTTCGGATTCAGGGTAAGACTGTTCGTCATATTTACGGTTAGCAAAAGTACCAGAATGTTTGTACTGTAGACGGAAAGTAAAGTGGTCTCAGTCAATCTAAAAAATGGTTCAATTCATGAAAATAGAAAGTGAAAGCCCTTACCAAACCATATGTATTTTGAAACTGATTTTAAAGTATTTAAAATGTATTTTCAGTATTTGAACACTATTTTACTGTATTTTAATCCTGTTTGACAAAGAAATTTAAATTTTCGCCACTGTTTGAAATATATCTTGAGTGTAGTTAAATTGTATTTCATGAAAACGAAAACCTCTCTCATCAATTTACAATGTATTTTGTTTAATAAATATGATTAAAATAGGGTATTTAAAATGCATTTTGGGCATAGAACCACTAACACTGTTACAAACAGAGTTCAAATAGACTATTTGAAATCAGTTTTAACGGCTTTTATGCTGACTGTATTTAAAAACTTTTAAACAGGGTACTTTAACACTGTTTTGAGTTGTATCTAAAATGCAGTTTGAGACGCATCCACTCACAAAGTTACAAACATAGTTCAAATAGACTATTTGAAATATGTTTTAAGAGCCTAAATGCTGACCGTATTTTAAATCCTTTTAAATAGGGTACTTTAACACTGTTTTGAGTTGTATCTAAAATGTATTTTGTGACTCATCCACTCAAAAAGTTACAAACAGAGTTCAAATAGACTATTTGAAATATGTTTTAAAACCTTAAGAACTGACCGCATTTTAAATACTTTTAAATAGGGTACTTAAACACTGTTTTGAGGTATATTTGAATTGTAGTTTAGGCACACAACACTCTGACTATAAAAACAGATATACATAAACTATTTTAAGTCTGCTTAAAGACATCAAATGCTGACCTTACTTTAAATACTTTAAAGTACTTATTACTTATTATTACTGAGGTGCGATATTGTAATGTACTTTGGGATACTCAGACTATAAAAGTAACAATTGCACAAAGTTAATTTTTAAGCCTTCATAGTGTCACGAACTCATAAATGACTCAACACAAGCTGTCACATATTGTAGACCGGATTCTCTTCTCAACAAAGTTCGAAGCTGAGCGAAAAATTAAATCTAAATTAAATAAAAAAAGAGAAGAAAGTTAGGAATAGATTTTAGCTTTGACTGACAACACCTAACTGTGACAGTGTGCCGATAAGAGATCAATCCGTTCCTCAATGTTCATTGCCTGCAAGCTCTCTGCGAAAATCTCCTCGTAGATTTTAGCCGTGATTCAATTAATGCAGTTACGGCATTCCATAAGTTTTTTTAAAAGAAACTTCTTAAAATCTCATTTTAATGGAAATTTTTCACAAACAGCCGAGGCCGCGGGCCGAGAACCGGATGCACGCGGTCAACAGAGGTTTATCTAAAATAAGCCCTTGAAATTACATAATAAATAAATTATCCAAGCTAAGATCTCACCTCGTATATATTGCATCAAGAAACAAAGCTCAGATCTGAATAACTCCGACATATGGTTATCTTTCTCTCATAGATTATTCCGTACATGAATAGCATATTATTTATGAGATGTCACGCGTGACTGAAATCACGACTTCGCGCCGCGGTGATGTGACAAATGCACGTGATAAACAAACCGTCCTTTGTCCTTTGCTCATTTCAAATTATTGAACCGGCGGTTACTGTGATTGCGGGTGCGCTTGATTTTACTGTTTGTTACGATCTTACAAAAGTACATTTCAACTCCGCGGATTGTCTGAACACGTAGATGTTGCTTTTATCACGAATCAAAAATGGGGATGACTCCTCAGCGACTGCTATGTACTTTGAAAGGTTCTGGTTCAGGTTCTATTCGAAGCACGCTGTCTTATGTGTTAATCCAAGAGTCTTCTCTCATGTGAGTATTATAACATGTTACTAAGACGCTTGAGTATACGCCATATGAGAAACAAATGAAGGGTAGTAAACATTTATATACTCCCGCCTGTACGGCAATTTTAGTTTTTACAGGGTTCCATGCTCATCCTGGCTGTGTTGCATGAATGATCTCAGTCACTTGATGTCACGCTCTTTCATTTTCGCGTAAATTTGATGGTGTTATTCTTATGTTGTTCTTTATCAGCCAATAATTAATGTTCAGGCGTAGCCTGCAAGCTTCTGATAATACTTGAGTAAAGCCGTGAATATAATAAATAATGTAAGTTACATGTATGTAGATTATTATTTACCGGTAACGTCAGTAACGCAAACCCCTTTTGAAGCTGAAGATTGATAGCCTGTGTACAGACCCCTCCCTCCGATGTTTATTGAGGGAGGGGTCTGTACACAAACTAAAGATTGATTTCACCATTTCTGAAAAATTCCATAAGAATTTCCCGAGAATACGTAGGGAAATCAACGTAAAGTCATCGGCTAAGAGATAATTCTCGTGAAGTCCTGGCCTAGGACTGTGTGGAAAAATTTCGCAGAGGTAAATCTTGCTTTTTCAGGGTAATTTTCGACGGTTATGTAGTCATTTTATTTCATGAATTTAAATGGTATTTCCATCCTGTTTTTGTACTGTTTTTATGCTCTTTCGACCGATTTTTGTACTGTTTTCAGACAACTCTAAGGCTATTTTCTTACAATTTTATCCTGTTTTTGCATTTTTGCATCCTATTTTTGATGTATTTTCACAATATGTGCGTGCTATATTGCTTTCTTCTTCTTAGTTATTTTAATACTATTTTCAAAGTATTTTTATTGTATTTGCAAATACGAGTATTTTACTAAATTTCGAGACCGATTAAACAGCTATTAAAATATATTTTGAAGCATAACATTTTAATAGCGTTTTAAACAGGTTAAAACACCTTTAAAATCAGTCGAAAAATATATTAAAAATATATTTTTGTACCTATTTTAAACCTGTTTTTTTCAAAATACGTTTAAAATTGCCATTAAAAATAGTTTTAAAATAGTATAGCAAATTAAAATATGTTTTTAAAACTGTTTTTATCCTGTTTTTATTCCGATTTATAAGGTATTTAAAAACTGTTTTAGACCTGTTTTGAGCCTTGCAAAAGCCCTGGGATTTTTTTATATTTTAAACGAATTTTAAAATACTTTAAAAATTGTTTTTTAATAGCATTTTAAACAGGTTAAAACACCTTTAAAAGCAGTCGAAAAATACATTAAAAATACACTTTTCACCCTATTTAAAACCTATTTCACAAAACAGGTTAAAAACAGTTTTCAAAAATAGCTTAAAATTACATTCAAAACAGTGTTGGATTTGGTAAGGGAGTGAAGGTTGGGATGGCGAAAATTACATATTTGCCCAAAAGTGACTAAGATGGGGT